TTTCCTGTGGATAAAATGGGTTACAGCAATGCAACAAATCACGCCAGGCAGGATTAACAATACAATGGTTCCCCGGCATCTCTGGGGGACTGGTTCCAGGACCCCCACGGTTACCACAATCTCTGATGCCAGAGGCCCTGACATAAAACGCAGAGTATTTGCATATAACCTAAACACACACTCCCACATACAGGCACAGCTCAGTGATGTCGCAGGTTGGGTTCCAGACCACTGCAATGCAGCAAGCATTGCAATAAAGCAAGTCATGTGACTTTTTTGGTTTCTCAGTGCATATAAAAGTTATGCTCACACTATACTGCGGTCCATTAACTGCGTGACAGCATTGTGTCTAAAAGAACAATGTTGGTATGCCGATTAAAAATACTTTATTGCTAAAAAGTGCTTAACCATCTTATTACACAGGTTTGCCACAAACCTTCAATTTACAAAAAAACACACAGGATCTGCAATACAACCTAATACATGTAAATACTATGTAAATAATTGTAAACACGATGCAAATGATATGTAAATAGTTGTAAACATAATGTAAATGACATGTAAATAGTTGCTGGCAGGCAGCAAAATCAAGTTTTGCTTTTTTGGCACTTTCTAGAATTTTTTCCTTCTGAGTATTTTTGATCCGTGTTTGAATTCATGGATGCAGAACCCACAGACACTGAGGGCTGACTGAATATAGCCATAATTTACCTGCACATTAAGCATGAATAAGTTAAAGTTATACCTAAATTTTCTCGGCTATTTTTGACTACAAAGTCCTTGTAGGATTAACCATTAAGCTGTCCTATAATCTTAAAGGTGATATATTCACTTTGTCATTAATTTTAAACTACCTGTATAATTTTAAAAAATAGATTGACTATTAGCCAACATTCTACCACTCCAGGGTCACACACTCCATGACAAAATTGCTTACTGACCTGTCCTGGGAACTTTTCCAGGGGCAGTCAGGTCATGTGAATCCTCAAGTCATTCGGAAACTGTCTCTTTAAACCAGTGCTGGGCGCGCCTGGAAGGATGCTTTCTAGCACTGCCTTATCCTCTTCGCAGTGCAGACCCAATACAAAATATAAAACTGAAGAACTGGTATTTCTAAACACATCAGATTTCTCAGATGGATTCTGGTTAAGTAGGAAAAAAGAATCCTGAATGTTAAAGAAATAATAGCATAAGAGAAAACATGTATGCAATATCCTTTCTTTTTTTTCACATTTTTTATTGATTTATAATTATTTTACAATGTTGTGTCAAATTCCAGTGTACAGCACAATTTTTCAGTTATACATGAACATATATATATTTATTGTCACATTTTCTTCTCTGTGAGCTACCATAAGATCTTGTATGTATTTCCCTGTGCTATACAGTATAATCTTGTTTATCTGTTCTGCAATTTTGAAATTGCAATATCCTTTCTCAGAAATCTTGGGGGGAAAAGGCAGCTGATACTCTTCCTTCATAACTGGTTTTATCTATTAACGTCTACGATGAACTTTACACTTTTCATGGCAAAATACAGGGTAATTTCTTCCTGAGTCAGATCAACTGAACACCACTCTTCAGAGATTCAAGTTATCTCTCTGCTTTCTTTCCTCCAAGCCAAAGTAATTTCAAGTCTCCTGATGTCTGAGGTTGTTTGGAGATGTTCTAAAAGTTTCTTTCCATCCTCAATGATTTTCATTACTTCCACTAGCTTCCTTTAAAAGCTTCAATTCTTAGGTTGAGAAGCTAGACCTGGTCTTGAGATGTACTTCCAAGCTAACCTAACGCCACTGTCTCAATAACTTATAAATGTTCAAAATTAAGGAATTACCTAAAGCTTAATTAAAACAATACTGACAAACATGTGCACTTCCTACCTGAGAACTCCCTGCATTACCACCTTCCTCCAGAGGAGACTGGGTGACATGGCTGTGACACGGAGCCTTTAACCTGGCGTTCAACATTCTGCTTTGGATGGAAGATGTTAAATTTTGAGGCACGTTTTCTGAAGCTGGGAAAAACACCTCACACATTACCTATAAAATTGCCAAGAAGAAAAATACATATGTCTTAAAACTCTTTTGAAAAACATACAGTATGCCTTCAAGATTCAGGGAGGAAACTCAGAGGCCAAATAGACCTAAGACACTGAACAATTCCCATATTCCAACTGCCAATGTTTTAAAATTCAAATGTTTCCCAAAACATATGATATGACTCTTATGAAATCTGCAGGGGTTACAAAGCAGGCAGGAATAGTTAAAATAGCCGACTCAAGATTCAATACTATTTTAACAAGTTCAAACAATGGCCAAAACCAGTGAGTGACAATTTAACAGAATTAACAAAGACCAGTAAACTGCACAAGGATAAAAATACCGCTAGAAAGTTCTCACTTAAAAAAAAATATCTGTTTCAGCTAACTACAGTTCTAATAGAAGCCAGCAGTGTGATGGTATCAGGTTAAATATAAGTCAACTCCCTGGGAACACAAGGGAAGGTCAAGGTTCACCACCTGCAGCCACTGGATGTGGGCGCTGAGATTCGGGTATACTAGAAGGCACCTGGAGGAGGAAACCTTACAACCCTATTCCATGAGGAAAGGATGTCTGGTACAAAGAATGACTTAAAGCAAAGATAAAAGCTGTCCTCAAATATCTAAGGTGGTTTAAAAGGAAGAAGGAAGACCTACTTCATTTTTCTCTTGCTCCAAAGACTGAACCTAGACTGCAGAGTGGAAATTACAGGGTCAATATATGGTACAAGGTGGCAACGAAACAGTGTTAAAACACGGAAACACTGACGTATAAACAAGAACTCCTGGTCACGGGAAATGCCGAGGTTGTGTAACTATCATATAAGCTTTTTTTATAGGGTAGATTCCTACACCAAGTGTGACCCGATGACCTGTAGTAAGACTGGTTTAAATATCTGCACAAAAGAGCAGGTATTTCTGCAGCGTGTTGGGTGAAACTTGGCTGAAAATTTCAAGTCAACCTATGGAGCTGGATTGATACATTTTGCATATATCACAATGTCTTTTCCAGGGCTCGCACCCAAACGTCAATACTTGAATTACAAACTCTAGGTAGGATAAATCACTTTGCCTCCCCAGCCTCATACATCAACCTGGCCTCACTAATGTATGTCATTATTTCAGCAGAACTGAGATATGTGGACACCGTCTCATAAAACACTCTGCATCATCCGTGGATGAAAGTTTATCAAATGCATGAACTCACCATTATCACTGTGTGTTTTAAATCACACTGCCATGAATATTCAGAATTACATTCCTGGTTTATTTTACCTGCAGGAGCTACTCAGCATGGACACAAAGGCTGTAAATAAGACTTCAAGAAAAAAGTCATTGAAAGGAAATCATACCTTTTGTGCTTCTTTCTTCACTGGGTTACTCTCTGGATTTAAAGCGAGGCAGTAGAGAAATTCCTTCAAAACTTCCTTACATCTTCCCAGCCCAGAAAGAGCCAGAGCTTTCACATGATGTCCCTGCATTCATCCAAAGACAAGACAGACATTCAAAAACAAAAAATAAAAGTCTAATTGTATACTTGTACACACACAGTCCTGAAAAAGTTCTTTAAAACTGTTTCATTTTCATGTCAAGTAGAATAAACACAGCCCAGAGAAGTTGGCTCCAGCTCTACCACCTTGGAAACTGGGCAAACCTGAATGTCCCGTAAGTGCAACCTACGATCAGAACACGAGAATCCATACCTGGAACGGGAGCCCAAAGCATTCCAAGGGACATGCTAAGACAGAACCAGCTGTCTACCACCTTCAACTCCCTCAGCGATCACACATCACTACCATGGTCTTAGTCTTCAAGGAGCAAAGACTCTTGTGGGTGAAGATAAACTTGACCAGAAATAACCGTAACACAAAGTGTAATATACAGAGTCCCACACAGAAATGAACAAAATGAATGTGGATCATTATTTTCCAACAGCGCTCTGTTTTTGTTTCACAGATGCGATATTTTCTCAAATCATGGTCGAGACTGTGGTTTGTTTGTTTTACTAGTTCAACTCTTATGTTTCCACTGGGGTCAGTTGTTCTGATCGTTTATTTCGGTCTTTCTCTTCTGTGCTGCTGAATTTCTTTCCCTAATGACTAATGACGTGGACCATTTTTTCACATCTTTGATACTCACATGCCTTCCGTGGCCACCTACGTTCAAACCTTTCCCATTATTTAACTGAACTGTTTGAACTGCTGAGTCAGTGAAGGTTCTTTATACACGCTAAATACAGATGTATGCCTTGCAAATATTTTTCTCCCATCCTGCGTTTGCCTTCTTGTTTTTATAGCAGTTATCTTTTGAAGAGCAGAAGTTTTTTTAAATTCTGGTGAAGATTTATTTACAAACATTTTCTTTTATGATTTCTGCTTTCGTCCTAGATAATAAATCTTTGCTTAATCCAAGGCAACAAAGACTTTTGTTTGTTTTGTATTGTTCTAGACGCTTTGTAACTGTAGATTATATATTTAAGCCTATGATCAATTTTGAATTAATTTTTATATATGATGTATGGAAAGCCTGAGGTCCACTTTGATTTTTTTTTTTTTTTGGCAAATGGATATCCTGAGTACAAACTGCTAAACAGACAACCCTTTCCCTATTGAATCACCTCAGCCCTACTGCAAAAAGCTAATTTGCTGCATTGTCTGGGCCTATTTCCAAACCGTCTTCTGTTACAGTCACCTTATGTCTAGTGTCACTCGTGTGACAGTGTCCAAGTCACTGTCACAGAGCTAAGCATGCACTCTATCACTGAGCTACTGCCTCCCCCCAGTCACTCTCTTTTAAGAGTCAATTTCTCTCTGGTCTCCCCCAGCTCTTCTGCAGTGCCTTCTGCGCCTGTCACAAACATGCACAATTTAGCTGTGAGTCAGGGATTTGGACAACCTGGGTTCTGAATTTATGTCTCATTCCAACAGTTTTTGTGCTGCTCGGTCCTCCTCTTTACGTTTCCAGATGCTTTACTGTCCTTGAACTCAGAACTCTGGTACCCTTAGCTGGGAATGCTGAGGGTGTCCCACCGTGGTTTTCCGCAGCTTCAGCTCTGGGGATGGACAAAACTCTTGGGACAAAAAAGCCAAAAAATCACAATTCTTACCCCTTTCATGTGGAGTTTTCCAAGACTGAACTCTCCCCCAGCTTCTGCCTGTTATGGATGTTTTACAGTGTCTATTTTTACTCCAGTTTTTATAACTGTCATCTCTTCAAGGTTCACATGACTGCTTCACTCCTTTGGAGGCAGAAGTAACCCCCCTCTCAAACTGTCATTTTAACTGAATCCCTTGGTAGGGAAAACAATAATGCATGCTCTCCAGTTGTTGCCTCTTAATCTTTCCTGTCCTTACCTCTGTATTAAAACTGCTCCAAGGCACTGGTGACCACAAACGAGCAAATGTGAATGCCTATTTCAAGTCCTTATCTGATCTTTTCTGTTTTTCAAATACCATGAATGTGCTGATGGTGACCAGCACCAACCACCTCCTAACCTTTGCTAACTGTCTGTCCGCTGCATCACTTGCCCTCCAGCTCTCTGGGGGAGCAGCCATCTCAAAGTACGTACCAAACTTTCTGGGCAAACAGCTCACCGGCTTTATCCTTCAGCTCCCAGAAAAGCTTCAGATGTACTTCAAGCGATCAGCGATTCATCTAGGGAGCTCTTTCAGTTTGGGGCAAACATTTAAAATTTTTACTAATTTCTTATTCTCCCTTTCAGAGTGAATCCAGCTTTCGTGTCTCCTGAAGATGACACAATTTGGAATGTCCTCTTCAAAGGGAAGAATAAAGTTCCTAACGTGAAGTGACTAGGGCCCTTTTCAGGCCCGGTGCAAGGAAGGGCCCTCCCCTCTCAAGGGTCAGCAGCTTCTAAATCTGCTCTGTCTGCTTGTCAACAGTTCTAAGGGGATAACATTGTCCTGTGTACACAAAGCACTTCGGCTGGAAGTTTCCCAAACACGTACACATAACAGTAACCAATATTTGCATTTTTGACGGTGTATCAATAAATGTTTATTTACTGAATGAATAACATTTAAATAGTTGTAAGTCTTACAGGTTCCCTGATTGGGTAAGACCAACTTAATCACGTGCCAATTTATATTTCTGCATATGGGCAAATCGTCTGCTAGCACCGGCTTGTCTGTTTGCATCAAACGCTTGGAATCGATACCAGCATGACTGGCTTCTTGAAAGGGCAGTTCTGCCTGCATAAAACACCTGCTGTAGTTGCCCCACTGGAATCTTGAGGCTGGTTCTACAAGTGCTTCCATCTCATCTCAACTACAGTCGGCCAACTTCATCCTCCCCTCAGTCCTTTCCAGTTACCTTCCAACAGCACTTCTTCCCTAACCCCTTAGTTGTAACAGTAACCTGGAAATAAATCCCCAAGCTTTACTATCTTACCGTATTCACTTCTAGTGATTGGTCTGCTCAAATCCCCTATTTCTTCTTGACTCAGTTTTGGTGGACTGTTACACTTCTAGAAACTTCGTCGATTTCTTCTAGGTTGTCTAATTTGTTGGCATATAATTGTTCATAATATTCTCTTATGGTTTTTTTGTATTTCTGCAGTATCAGTTGTAATTTCTCCTCTTTCATGTCTTATTTTCCTCTCTCTTTTCTTCTAGGTGTGCCCAGCCAGACAGTTTGTCGATTACTACCTTCAAGTGATTTATCAGGGTGCATTTCTGCTGAAGTTATTCTTCACTAGATATTTATCAAGAAATGAGATCCACAGATTTGCAATAAACCCTAAAGATATAACCAAAATTCCAAAGGCTAAAGATGCATTTTCTGCCTCCCTGACAGTTACAATTAGCCATATAAGTTTGTAGGAATTAAGTCAGCGATACACTGCTGGGATTTTAGCTCAAAGATCAATACAGTGGAGAAGAATCTAGCTTCAGAGGGCAACGTAGGTCTACGGTCAGTCAGAAATGCTAGACTTGTAATCGGCAACTATTCAGGCATAATGACTCCTGACAGAAATTACTTCAGAAGAAGAATAGCTCAAGGGATCGGAGAAAAGCCATCAGAAACACAACAGGAAATGTTTTTAGAGAAGCAAATAAGCAACAAACGTGGTCCAACAGACATCTGCTTCTCATTCTTAGGCTCATCCCCAAGTCCAGCTTGACACTCAGTCTAATGTGAAAACATTTTATTTTAAAGGATGGATGGTTAGATGGAAGGAAGGAAGGAAAGATGGATGGATGGATGGAAGTAAGGAAAGATGGATGGATGGAAGGAAGGAAAGATGGACGGATGGAAGGAAGGAAAGATGGAAGGAAGGAAGGAAAGATGGACAGATGGACGGAAGGAAGGAAGGAAAGATGGATGGATGGAAGGAAGGATAGATGGACGGATGGATGGAAGGAAGGAAGAAATAAAGGGAGGGCAGGCTACATCCATCTTGTCTATTAACCTTGGTTAATATCTCTTCAGTGTTTCTTAAACAAAGATGATTTAAAAGTAATATAGCAGGAGAAAAATATTTTTAATTATTAGATAATAGAGAATGCTATAGGTGTTACTCTCATCACAGCTTCTTTAAAACCTTAAAATCTCTTAAGGGGTTTAAAATTCCAAGATTCATGAAATGAGCTACAACTTCTATTCTCTGGCTTCCTACTCTTCATCAAGGACAACTTAACAGACCATTATTAAGTTAGCAAACCTTATTTGGGGTCACCAGAGAGAAAAATATTAGACCTTTCCAACCGAGACACAGAGACTAAAATTATTTCAAAATAAAATTACTCCAAAATACAAAGTATTTGTCCTTTTACTAACACCATTCATATGCATCGCGCATATTACAGCCTGCTAATCACGATTGTTATGTGATCTTCCTATTTAAACTATAATCTTAAACATTTCCTCTTCATTCACAAACCTATAAAATTCTATTACTTTGTTTATATATTTGTTCAGTGCATAAGGCGTATTATTCAGCTAACCATCTACAAACAGTCATCTGAATTAGTGTCTCTTTTCTAGATCCAGCTGGAAACTTGGTCATTTAAACTGAGCTGGTTTATTATGAAGTGAACTGCTACATTTAGACTACCTGTAACTGGAGGGAGGGACATGGACACTGTCTGTTGGTACCTAATCACAATGCTCTTACTTTAGCCTTAAGAAAATCCCCATAAATTTACATTTATTGTTTCCAAAGCCAATCAATGACAAATACCTTAGGCAGGAGAGGTTCATTCTGACAAACAGCACTGGCGTCCTGCAGAGCCTGCTCATAGTTCCTCACGGTTAAATATAACTCTGCTCGCAGCAGCAACAAAGAATTATCACCAGGTGCTGAAAGACATGAGGAATGGAAGTAAATAAAAATGACTGCATTTTTTAAAAAATGATCTTTAAGTCATTAAAAATATTAAATTAGAAAACAAACATGAAGGTAAAATAAATAACGCCTCCTCTAATCATATGTACAGCCCACTTATTTGATAGGTATGCTGTACATCGCTTCTCTCAGGAAGTCAGAAAGAGGATGAAGAAGACTTCAAAATGCACCAAGAAAAACAGACTGCTACACACACACTAGCCACAACATAATCTCCAATAATGAACTTGAGTAGACACTGAAGCATCTTAATGTTATAACTGTGTATTTAAAAAGAAAAGACTTAGAGTCATTTCTTTGAAAGTACACAGGGAAACTCATGCTTAAAAACAGGAAAGTAAAACATAATTTGTTTTCCATACAGCTGTGTAGATGCAGATTTATGAGCATAACTGTACCTACAGTATGTTCTCTAAAGTGGGAAAAGAAGAAAATAAAGAGCCTTCTTTTTCCCTAGGTTCCTGAAAACAGAAGCGATCTGGAGAATTACTCATACGCTACTGAGGACACAGAAACCAAGACTGACTCTCACTTCACACTGACAATAGTATGTGAAGTGAGTGACGAGGCAGGGTACCATGGAGACGTGACACAGTCAGAGCTCACGAGAGCAGGACCATCACAGCCATCTTTTCATACTGCTGGACATGGTTCACTCAACCCATATTCTTTGTAGGCTCTATGAAATAGGACTGAAATGTTTTGATCAATAAATATTCTGAGCATCTAAGATGTGTTCTCATCTCTCTGCTTAATACGTATCTTCAGCGTGCTCCAAATCCTCCATCCTGACTCTTTCTCGAAGTAAAGGCTTGGTACCTTCCAAACGCTACTCTGCATCTCCTCTTAGTTTACACAGGCAACTGAGCAAATGTGTCTAAAAGAACTCATGCAAAAAGATATTACATCAAGGCATGGTGAGCAGGCACTACTTATAAATGTGTTATTGCTACAAAGGTGTAATAGAGAGGTAGTATGACAGGAAAAAAGGGGGAGGAGGGGAAAGGAACAGCAAGAATGGCGAGCCAAACAAAAGAATGCTGAATTTTTAAAAAAGACACTGACTGGCTAGAGCAGAGATCAACAACTTTTTTTTTTCTGTAAAAAAAAACCCCCGAGATATTAAGTGTTTTAGGCTCCGCTGGGCAAGAAGTAAACTCAAGAATATCATGCAGGTACTTATGTTAACTAGAGGAAGCAAATTTTCACAACTTTTTCATTGGCAAAGTTATTCAATTTATAATAACTTAGTACTTTCTTGTAATATAGGTCTACTAATTAGAAAAGTGGAATTCTTTTGGAGAAGATAACATTTTCCTCAATTCAGGTTCAAAGTTAGTGCTCCCC